ATCAGTTAGGAGTTGAATTCCCCTCCAAATAAAAGAAAACCAAAATGTTGGTATTTAAACAAGACACAGGGTTGCTTTTCTCCCGCTGCAGTAAAGAGCCTGGAGAAGGCAGGTAGCCCATGGTATCAGCAGGACCAGGCATCTTCCTACCTCCGACTAACTTAACATCTCTTGTGTCTGCATGGCCACTGCCTTTGTTGTAAACTTTCATTAGGCCTGAAATATTTACTTCCTCATCACCTACTCTGAGTATCTTACCACTCCATATTGCTATCAATGATTCCTAGAAAACTAAATCGAATATTACCACTCCCTTTAAGAAAAACTCTTTTGGTGGTTCTCTATTATTTTAGGATAAAGTCAAAGATCCTTAGCTTAAACACAGAGTTCTGCACGGGGGGTATGGCTCAGTGGTTGAGCATCAACCTATGAACTAAGAGGTCATGGTTCAATTCCTGGTCAGGGCACATGCCTAGGTTTCAGGCTTGATCCCCAGTGTAGGGCGTGCAGGAGGCAGCTGATCAATGATTCACTCTCATTGTGATGTTTCTTTCTCTCTCGCCCTCTCTCTCTCTCTTCCTCTTGACAATTAAGTAACCACAGCTCCTCCTGTGGGGAGGAGTAAGTACAGGTAGTAAGGGGGCTGTTCTTGGAATATTCCTGGAATGCTGCTCTCTCGTTGGGAGTGAAGCAGAAACTCACTGATGGAACAGGAGGGCAGGGAGCGGGGTTTACCCTGACAGTGCCTTCCCCGGCCTCTCCTGCTGGGCTTATACTGCCTTACCCAGCACCCCTACTGTACAGGCCAACTCATCCTCCAACTCTAAGTTCGATGTCACCTTCCTATGGCACCTTTCATGACCCACATTCCCACCCCCAAACAGGTTTCATTCTTGCAATCAGTGTGTTCAGACTAAAGAGATAACATTTCTGTGCTATTAAAATTCTTATTTCTATGACTGTGTCTCCTTCTCTCACTCCCATGCATATTCTAAGCCACGCAGTTGGAGAGTGTCTTTGCGTTTCAGCACCTCGTATAGTACCTGACCTTTGGGAGACGCTCGAACACGTACTGAATGAGTGATGGTGAGGCTCTCCTCCTTGCCTGCTCTCCCTTTTACAATGAGAAAACTGAGATCTTGAAAAGTTGAATGGCATAGTAAATAATAAAAGTCATGGACATCTATGTTCATGATAACCTCACTGTGTTCTGGGCACTTATCTAAGTGTTCATATATGTTCTTCTCCTTCATTCTCACACCGGCCTGGTGATGCATGTGTCATTGTCCCCGAGGCAAAGTGGCCAAGCCCCCAGGGTGAGAAAGTAGCAAAGCTGGGATTTGAACCCAGGACTTTCCTAACTTCAGTCCTGTGCCAGCATAGAGTGGACCAGGCCGCAGTCTTCTGGGTCTACACCTGACTTGAAGCTATTCAAATTTTATCCCCTTTTCATGCCTGCCCAGCTGTAATGCAATAATGATTGAATAGTGCTTACGAAGACAACGCATTCTTGGTGTAGATACATGTGCCCGCCAGTGTGGCGTTTGTCTAGTGACGATGCTGCACATCTGCTCATCCTACCCTCCTGCCCAAGTCACCAAGAACCACTTACAAACCACAGCTGGAGGGAAATAAGAGAGTTATTTTGCTCTAGCTGGTTTGGCTCAGTGGATAGAGCATCAGCCTGCAGACTGAAGGGTCCCAGGTTTTATTCCAGTTAAGGGCACATACCCGGGTTGTGGGCTCGATCCCCAGTAGGTGGCGTGCAAGAGGCAGCCAATCAATGATTCTCTCTCATTATTGATGTTTCTCTCTCCCTCTCTCTCTCTCTCTCTCTCTCTCTCTCTCTCTCTCTCTCTCTCTCCCTCTCTCTCCTTTCCTCTCTGAATTGAATAAAAATATATTTTTTAAAAAGTTAATTTGCCCAGTTTAAAACCTGTTGGAATTTCCCTGGGGAACAGAATGGTCCTGTGGGTTAGTGCTGATCAGAAAGGGTTACCCCAGGAAGACACCATCATACAGCATTCGGCTCTCAGCAGGTCTAGGCTGGTTGAGGAAAGTACAGGCTTCGCCTAACACTTTTTGTATCATAACAAGTGAGACTTCCTGTACCTGGGGGCTGGTTGGTCAGAAGGAGGAAACAGATCGCCCGTCAGAGGAGCCGGGAGAAACACGGTGTTGCTGGTCACTCCCCTTCTAGAAGGGACTCGTGTGTGTCCCCTTCATCCACCACTTTTGACAGAAAACTGCACATTCATCACGCAAGATTTCTTCCCAGGTGGCTAGCCACACTCCTGCAGTTATCCGGGAAAGAAAATGGGATATTGAACTGTAGATCTTTCCCCGGCTCCGAGGACTTGTAATCCTTGGTGCCCTCCATCATGGACGCTCCATCGTGCGGCTGTGGGCACTCCCTGCTCTCCCGAGATCAGATCCTTTCATCAGAGCATTGTCTTCTGGACATCCTGCTTTCTCCCGCTGTAGTCAAGAGGGAGGATGGCACTGTGCCAGCTGACAAGTGGAGGGAACATGAATGAGAAAGACAAAGCAGGGAGGGGTGCCATGGAGACAGTCATCTTCCATGGTCCGGTCATTGAACAGGATGTGAAAATAGGCCGAGGCCTATTTGCTATATTAAGTGGAGGGGGTTGTTGTTGTTGTTGTTTGTGTGGTTTTTAAAAAATCTATTTTTATTGATTTCTAAAAGGAAGGGAGAGGGAGAGAGAGATAGAAACATCAATGTGAGAGAGAATCATTGATGGGCTTCTTCCTGCATGCCCCACCCTGGGGATCAAGCCTGCAACCCAGGCATGTGCACTGACTGGGAATCGAACCATGACCTCCTGGTTCATAGGTTGACGCTCAACCACTGAGCCACACCGGCTGGGCTATCAAGTGTTTTTAAACACAGTAAGAAACCCATGTTTTATTGCAATCCAGGACACACATGTAAACACACACACAATAGGTCACAACCTGAAGGGTGGATGGAGCAGTAGTGGCTACAGCACAAGCTATAGAGTCAGACCTGCAATGAGCCCCTGCTCTCCCACTGAACCCCCAGAGGAATTTTGAAAAGCTGCAGACCCCATCACACATTTATAATTGTCATCTAAAGGTTTTCCTCCCCAAATTTAAATACTTGCAAAGACTAGAATTTCCCATTTGCTGTAAATATGCTATAATACATTTTGTCAAAGTACAGAGCCAAAAATTTAGCTCAGATTCATAGACAGTGTTCATTATATAAGCTAATTGCCAAAAACATCCCTCACTGTCTCACCCATCAAGCTAATCAGACTTAACTCCTCATCAGAGAGGAAGTCAATCTTCATTTGCAAAAATTCAAATAAACACACTAAAGTGCCCACCTCCCCACACTTCTGACTCTGACTCTGAGATGCATAGAGGCCGATGGATGGGAGAGGTCAAAGCCTGGCCTGAGTCTGTACCTTGTTGACATAAAGCTCTGCTCCTCAGATACCTTCCCTCAGGAACAAGCCTTTCTCTTTTTTAAATGTTTTTAATTGATTTCAGAGAGGAAGGGAGAGGGAAGGAGAGAAACATCAATGATGAGAGAGAATCACTGATTGGCTGCCTCCTGCACGCCCCCCCCCCCCACTGGGGATCAAGCCTGCAACCCGGACATGTGCCTTGACATGGGACCTCCTGCCTCATAGGTCCATGCTCAACCACTGAGCCACACCAGCAGGGTGCAGGAGCAAGCCTTTCCCAGTTACCTCTAGATTATTTCTATCCCAGGCCCAAGCTCCTTCAAAGGCTTGAGGTGGATAATAAATGTCATTCCTTTGTAAAGAGGCAGAAAACAACTGTGAGAGGGGAGGGAGAGGCTTGGAGAGCTGGGAGACCTCAGACTCCTGGTGCTTCCTCAGCCAAGACGGTTTGGGGACATGCAACTTGATGATCTGAAAACTGATTCTCCCAAATGTGTGACTGGAACCCCCAAGAAATTATGCAAATAGTCCTAGGTACTTGAACCACTGTTCTGAGTCTTTAGTATCCTCATCTGTAAAATGTAAATAGTGATAGTACCTACTTTCAAAGATGGTTCAGAGGAATACATAAAGGCTGTATATACAAAGAAAGCCCATAATGAAGTTCTGGGCGCAGAATGAGTACCCACTTTGTGCTCGCTGTTGTTATGGTTGTTGCTGTTGTTATTCGACCCCTCTGCTTGCTAACGAGGCCATTTCTCATTGGATTAAAGTAATCCTCAGGCCCGTCCCTAACATTTGGGCCCGCAGCCCATATATCCAAGCTCTGTCCGCACATCTGCACCTAGCAGCCCCTTTGGCCACTTCTTGGGTCTGGAACCTACATCTTGTAGCAAATTCCACTCTCATTATGGTTGTTGTTGTTATTCGACCCCTCTGCTTGCTAACGAGGCCATTTCTCATTGGATTAAAGTAATCCTCAGGCCCGTCCCTAACATTTGGGCCCGCAGCCCATATATCCAAGCTCTGTCCGCACATCTGCACCTAGCAGCCCCTTTGGCCACTTCTTGGGTCTGGAACCTACATCTTGTAGCAAATTCCACTCTCAGGTCACACTTGGGTAAGAAGCCCTCACATAGCTCAGAGGTTGCCTGGGCAGGAAATTCAGGATTCTGACTTTCTGGAACTTGCTCTAAAAGGGGTTGGATATAAATCTGCTGGGCATATCCCCCTGGCCCAATAGATTTCTTGCCCAGATAGAGTAGGGCAGGAGCTACACAAAGCACAAGCCCAGCGCAGCGGCCCCTCCTGCTTGGGTCTAAAGGTCTTACCTCATGGATGTTGTTAATCAATTGGGCTAATGTGTGTGGATGCGTTTTAAATGTAATACTTCAGTGTTATCTTGATGGCCTTTATGACCCCAAATTCCGTTAAAATCAACCCCCTTGAACAAACGAATGGAAACCACAGAAAAAGACAAGTTAGTAAGCAGACCTCACTGGAGGTCCGCAGGGGCAGAAGAGAATGCCTTGTCTTTGGTTTCAGGGCCCGGCTTTCAGGCCTCCGGATACAACTTCAACACCTACGACTGGAGGAGCTCGAAGCAGAGAGGGAGCTTGTCCCCAGTCACTAAGCCTCGGAGCCAGACTTACCCAGATGTGGGGCTGAGTAACGAAGACTGGGACCGCTCCACGGTCAGCGGGTAAGGCTCATCTACCGTGGCCCTGTCCCAACTGCTTTGTGTTTGGGGGGCCAGATCTGAACCTCTCTACGTCCATTGGCACATGTTTCCAGCATTGGCTTCCTGAAGCTGCTAGAATCAGCCATGCTGGCCTGGTGGCAGAATTCTAACACTTGTGCCTGCCCAGTGGGAGCCTGGGCACCACCACATAACAGGGCAAGCGCTGTGTCCCCTAAAGAAAACAACAGCACGTGGGGAAAACCTACTTCTAACGACCGTGGCCTCACTCTGTGACTAGTTCCCTCTCCTTTCATTTAAAAGGTAGTTTCACATCAACTTCTATTTTTTTAAAAGATACACCTAGGGTCCCATATTTTTTGCTAATATATATTTTAGCATTGTGTTCCTTACCAAAATACTTTAAGGAAATTTATAAAAAATGATCTTGATCTATACCAGTGATTTTCAACCCTTTGCATCTCATGGCACACATAAACTAATTACTAAAATTCTTTGGTACACCAAAAAATATGTTTTTTGCCAATCTGACAAAAAATAAATAAATAGGTGTCATTTTGATTTATCCACACCAGATGGCTATTGTGGTGTTGGCTGTTGTCATTTTGTATTTGACAATCTAAGGCAGTGGTTCTGAACCTTCCTAATGCTGCGACCCTTTAACACAGTTCCTCATGTTGTGGTGACCCCCAATTTCATCGTTACAAATTGAACATAATTAAAGCATAGTGATTAATCACAAAAACAATATGTAATTATATATGTGTTTTCTGATGGTCTTAGGCGACCCCTGTGAAAGGGTCGTTTGACCCCCAAAGGGGTC